CCTCCCTCCTCAGCCGAGGAATGATGAGGATAACAGCTGTATCTCAAATGCAGCCCATTTGACATTACTTGACTCAAATGGGAAATCAAATCTATAAAACGCTTGTCACTGAGTGGAATTGATTTAATGATGCAGAATTCCATCAGCTAGCCAGTTCTTCACTAGTTTGTGAGCCACTAACTAGCTCAGTAGAGATAACAAGGTGTAGAGCTGGATGAACACAGCAGGCCAAGCAGCCTCAGAGGAGCAGGAAGGCTGACGTTTCGGGCCTAGACCCTTATTCAGAAATGGGGGAGGGGAAGGGGATTCTGAAATAAATTGGGAGAGGGGGGAGGCGGTAAGAAGATGGATAAAGGAGAAGATAGGTGGAGAGGAGACAGACAGGTCAAAGAGGCGGGGATGGAGCCAGTAAAGGTGAGGGTAGGTGGGGAGTTAGGGAGGAGATAGGTCAGTCCAGGGAGGACAGACAGGTCAAGGGGGTGGGATGAGGTTAGTAAGTAGGAGATGGAGATGGGGCTTGAGGTGGGAGGAGGGGATAGGTGGGAGGAAGGACAGATTAGGGAGGCGGGGACGAGCTGGACTGGTTTTGGGATGCGGTAGGGGAAGGGGAGATTTTGAAGCTTGTGAAGTCCACATTGATACCATTGGGCTGCAGGGTTCCCAAGCGGAATATGAGGTGCTGTTCCTGCAACCTTTGGGTAGCATCGTTGTGGCACTGTAGGAGGCCCAGGATGGACATGTCATCTGAGGAATGGGAGGGGGAGTTGAAATGGTTCGCGACTGGGAGGTGCAGTTGTTTAGTGCGAACCGAGCATAGGTGTTCTGCAAGGCGGTCCCCAAGCCTCCGCTTGGTTTCCCTGATGTAGAGGAGGCCACAACGGGAACAGCCGATGCAGTATACCACATTAGCAGATGTGCAGGTGAACATCTGCTTGATGTGGAACATCTTCTTGGGGCCCGGGATAGGGGTGAGGGGGGAGGTGTAAGGGCAGGTGTAGCACTTCCTGCGGTCCCACCTCAAGCCCCACCCCCACCTCCTACCTACTAACCTCATCCCGCCCCCTTGACCTGTCTGTCCTCCCTGGACTGACCTATCTCCTCCCTAACTCCCCACCTACACTCACCTTTACTGGCTCCATCCCCGCCTCTTTGACCTGTCTGTCTCCTATTTCAGAACCACCTTCCCCTCCCCCATTTCTGAAGAAGAGTCTAGGCCTGAAACGTCTGATGCTGCTTGGCCTGCTGTGTTCATCCAGCTCTACACCTTGTTATCTCAGATTCTCCAGCATCTGCAGTTCCTACTATCTCTCTAACTAGCTCAGTCGTTCACTGATTAACAATTAAGTTTCCTTGGCGAATGGCCCACAAGCCTAAAAATATGTTCACTGTCTCTCTTGTAGAATGTATTTGAATATATTTTCTGAGTATTATTGGAATATCTCTGAAATCACTAAACATTAAGCAGTGACAGTCTCTGTGACCTGGTATTGGTTGATCCCACTAGGTTATTACACTGTTGTTCAACATACTCACAACAGAACAAAACACAAAGCTCTTCATAGAAACTGGAACAGTTTATGCAAATTGTCTGTGGCACTGACAAATGCCTGAGGTACATGAAGTGGAGGTTCCGGTGTTGGACTGGGGTGGACAAAATTAGAAATCACATGACACCAGGTTATGATCCAACAGGTTTATTCGAAATCACAAGCTTTCAAAGTGCTGCCCCTTCATCAGGTGAAGTGAGAGAAAGAGCACACAGATACAGAATTTATAGGTAGAGCGATCAAACGATCATCCAAAGATGTGAGTGGAATGTCAAATAATAAGTCTCTGTAGGTGACCAAGAGTGTCGAACAGTGTGCGTAAAGTGTCAGCAGCTGAATAACAAGCGAAGGGCTGACTTATAATCTGATTGAGGCAGAGAGATAATTACAAAAAAATGAAAAATAAGGCAGTGCTGGGGACAAACTAAATGACTGGAATAACATGATAGGTATAAGAGTCGCATGCCGAGGATCTAACCAAAGTAACAAGTAAACCAAAACTGTAGAAACTAATTAAGGCAAGAGAGATCATAACAATTTATCAAGGTGATAGTGTCAAAACAGGACAGTGAGGAAGATTTTACTGTTACAGAACAGTGTGGTAGGGTCACATGTAGCATGACATGAATCCAAGACCACGCCTGAGGCCATCTTCGTGGGTGCATGAGGTTTGCAGATAGTGACAGTTTTAGGGATTTATGGCACCAGGCTGGTATGCAGTTCCCAGTGGTGCCAACACCTGCAACATGCTGAGTGATTATCAGCAAGAAAAGAGTGATGCATCAGTCTCACTCAAAAACTAATTAACCTTTGAAACTTTTCTCAGCCCACGAATGAAGAACAATGATGGAATGCTGGGCTTAACCTTTTCATGACCAGGTTATAGCTCTCTATGAGTAGTCTATGAAAGTTCATCACACTTACTGGCCTGTTGAGGAAAAATGATATCTATTTTCAGGAATGGGATTGTTGAGAAGAGATGAAAAAAAATTGATGATTGAATCAATGGGAAAAAGATTAAATCAAAACTGAAAATGCTAGATATGCACTAGATATTAAATTGAGGGACCACCTGAAATGCTCAGCTACATGTGAAAGACCCCATTCACTACTCAAAGAAGGGCGAAAGAGTACCCCCAGTGTACGGGTTAATATTTCTTCCTAAAACAGCATCACCAAAAGCACATTAACTGGCCATTCACTTGTTCATGAGATCCTGCCATATTCAAAACAGCTGCCACATACCATAGAATCACAGAAGAATCCCTGCAGTGTGGAAGCTGGCCATTCAAGACTACATCAACCCTCTGAAGAACATCCTACCCAGACTCACCCCCCTACCCTATCCCTGTAATCCTGCATTTCCCATGGCTAATCCACCTAACCTGTACAGCCCTGGACACAATGGACAGTTTCCCATGGCTAATCAACCTAGCCTGTACATCTTTGGACTGTGGGAGGAAACCAGAGCACCCGGAGGAAACCCACACAGACATGGGGAGAATGTGAAAACTCCACACAAACAGTCGCCCGAGGGTGGAATCAAACCTGGGTCCCTGATGCTGTGAGGAAGCAGTGCTAACCACTGAGGCATGCGTGACATATGCCTATAAAAACAGGAAGGAAAAGGAGTATCAATCCTTTACATTCCTTACTTTTTAAATGGGTTTTGTGTCTGAGCCTGAGGGAACAGAAATGAACACATTACCTGCAGGACAGTCCTTTAGTTTCTGAATATGAGGTGAGACTCTGCTCAAAAGTCGGATGTGGCATTGATCCATACAACCTTCATTCATTCATTCTGAATTAGTTGATCTTTGCAGGAGGAACTGTGTACATTAAATAATTAGCTCTAACTCCAGCGTGGAGAAGGGGAAAATATTAATCAGACTTCTTGTTCCTGATTTCAGTCCAGTTCCTCCTGCTGCAAGATGCATCTGTAGATGTCAGAGAAAGGATTGATCATAGTTTAGCTTCAATGACACTGTGGATTGGAAAAGCTCAGACATAATGAACAGCCACTTGGATGAGTTGGCAAAGAACTGTCTAGGACTGTGTCACTCAATCTTAACAAAAGAACATAATTTCAAGTGTTGTTTTGAGAACATTGGTAGTGCTAAATGTTGCGCTATCAATAGAATTAAATGGTACTAAAGTGAAAACTTGAAATGCAGTAATTAAGAGGAATTCAATATGCTGTTTATTTCACGTATAGAGTATTTTGCAGCTCAGAACTACAATTCTACAATCAAATAAACAATCATCTCTATGTTATTATAATGCAGGATTAGCTAGTTGGACAAAAATGAAGGTGAATTTACATTCCTAAAATTCATGAGTAATTTAAGTGTTTCAGGTTGAGGTAGTAGAACCAGAAAGTGCTGGATAAACTCAACGGGTCTGGTAGCTGATTTTAGTACAGTATTAGCTGATTTCAGTAGAGTAAGAAAAATTTGTACAGAATTCAAAGTTGGTTTGAATAAAGTGAATTTAAACTGTATCAAAAACTGTAGGAGAGAAGTGGAAATGGTTTATGGGACATCATTTGAACAGTTAAGTGAAATGAATATTGTTTCCAATCATAGAGACTTATGCTAATAAAAAGAAGAGAACAATGGATAAAAGTTTGGTTGGAATATTATGGATGGAGCACATTGAAAGGCTGTTATTGTTTTATTGCTGAAAATTTCACTATCACAGGACTTGCAGAAGGAAGTTGTGTGACGTTAGGATGGGAAATTATAGAACAATTGGAACCGCATTAAACATGCTAATTAATCACAGAAATCCCTCTAGTTCTATGTATTATTGAAATCCTGCAATGTTACAAAGGAAAATCATGGGTACATAAATATGAATTAGGAACAGGAGTAGGCCATTCAGACCGTCAAGCCTGCTTCTCTATTCAATAAAAAGATGGCTAATCTGACTGTAACCTTAAATCTGCATTTCTGCTTATCCCTGACAATTTTTCACTGTCCTGCTTAACAACAATCTTTCTGACTTTGTCTTAAAAATATTGAAGGACTCTGCCTTCACCAATTCTTCAGGAAGAGAATTCCAAAGACACTCAATCTAATGCTTTCTGGCTGGTCAATTTGTAAACTGGATATTTTGCATCCTGTGCCATTGCTTAATGAAGAACATGGAAGAATTTTCTTCCTCTCTTGATGAAAAATAGGGTGACTAGATCTTTGCATGTTCCAGGATGCGCTGCTGCATTTGACTTTGTTGCAACTTGGTGAGATTTGGAAGTTATTGTTTTGTGGATCTTCTCTATGTGTGATCGTGCTTTGTAAATAGGATTTAGTAATGATATCAAATACCCAAAACTGAAGTTGCTTTTATTAATTGAATAAAGAAGATACAGAGATTGTTTAAGCACCCTGGAGTTGGGGGTTAGAGAATTGAATAAATAAAAGCAATTACTGTAATCATTCTTTCTTTCTACAGGCCAAGAAACGAGAAGAGATTCTAGAGTTAATTAATAAACAGAGGGAGGAAAGAATACGGGTAAGAGAAATAATTAATTCTTCAGATGATGCAGGCCATGTTGAGGCACATGGGTCAGTGTGTACCAGAAGTAGAAATCAGACTGTAGGTGGCACTGGACAAAGTCCAGATGGAGACATGCACTGACTATATGTTGACTGAACATCCCACTTTAATCCAACTTGTCATTTTTTTTATTGATTAGGTTCCCAGGTGATGAGGTTCGAACTCACCAGTAATTATCATTAATTAAGAAACCATTTCTTCCATCTAGGTCACTCTGCTTTTCCTTCAGTTCACCATTAATCTGAAATAGTAATGGAAATTGCTGGAGAAACTCAGTCGGTCTTGCAGCATCTGTGATCCGAATGTTCGCCAACCGGAAACCATGGATGAACCGGGAGATCCACTCCCTGTGGCAGCACGTGTCTCTGGTTAGCACTGCTTCCTCACAGCTTCAGGGACACGGGTTCGATTCCACCCTCGGGCAACTGTCTGTGTGGAGTTTGCACATTCTCCCCGTGTCTGCTTGGGTTTCCTGCAGGTGCTCCGGTTTCCCAGTCTAAAGATGTGCAGGATAGGTTGATTGGCCATGATAAATTGCCCATAGTGTCTAGGGATGTGTAGGCTAGGTGGATTAGACGTGGGAAATGCAGGGTTACAGGAATAGGGTAGGGGTGGGCGTGTGGTTGGGATGCTCTTCAGAGGGTCAGTGTGGTCTCAATAGGCTGAATGGCCTACTTCCATGCTGTAGGTATTCTATGTTTACTGAAGTCCAGGTCTGAGTCTATACAGGAAATCCAGGTACAACATTTGCAAGGCTATCAGTGATGCCTTGAGGCAATGCCAAACTAAGCTTGAGACCCAGACTAGCTACACAAAAGCCTGTCATTTATGGCAAGGCTCACACTGCATAATGGGCCACAAAGTGAAGTCAAACAGAATTGTGGGCAACAGTGCATCCCTACCCAATGAGCTCAATGCATTCTACACTCTCTTTGAACAGAGAGTCAATGAAAAAATGTCATCTATCCTAACAGCCTCTGATGCACCTGTACCCTCAGTCATCATGGCAGACGTTAAATTGACTTCTTGAGAGTGAACCCACGAAGAGCGACCAGCCCGGATGGTGTCCCCAGCCGTGCACTCAAATCCTGTGTGGACCAGCTACAGGAGTATTCACAGATATCTTCAACCTCTCCACTTGCTTCAAGAAGACCACCATCATCTTGGTGCCAAAGAAAAATCATGGCAGTGTGCCTCAATGACTACTGCCTGGTGGCTCTGATCTCCATAATTTTGAAGTGCTTTGAGATGTTAGTCATGGCACAACAGGTCCACAGCAAATGCCATCTCCCTGGCCCTCCACTCATCCCTGGAACATCCGGATAACAAAGATACCTACATCAGGCTCCTACTTATTGCCTACAGTTCCACCTCCAACACCATAATTCCAAACAAACTCATCTCTTAAACTCTGAGACCTAGGTTTTGGCTCCCTCTGCAATTAGATCCTCAACTTTCTGACCCATAGACCACAATCAGTCAGAATAGGAGACAACACCTCCTCCATCATAATCCTCAACACCGGTGTCCAACAAGGCTGCATACTCAGCCCCCTACTATATTTGTGACTGTGTGGCCAAATTCTGCACCAACTCCATTTACAAGTTTGCTGACAACAGCACTGTTGTGGGGCAAATCTCAAACAACGATCAAACAGAATACAGGAAACGTATTGAATGCTTAGAGGCATGGTGTAAAGACAACAATCTCTCCATCGATGTCAGCAAAATGAAGGAGCTGGTCATTGACTTCAAGAAGCAGTGTGGAGGGCACATCCCTGTCAGCAGTAATGGTGCTGAGATGGAGATGGTCAAGAGTGTCAAATTTCTGAGAGTGATGATCACCAACAATCAGTCCTGATCCACCCATGTCGACGCAATGGTCAAGAAAGCACAACAACATCTTTAATTCCTCAGGAGGCTATGGAAATTCAGCATGTCCAGAAGGACTCTTATCAATTTTTACAGGTGTACCATAGAAAGCATTCTATCTGGATGCATCACAGCGTGGTTTGGCAACTGCTCTTCCCTAGACTGCAAGGAACTGCAGAGAGTCGTGAATACAGCCCAGTCCATCACTCAAACCAGCCTCCCATCCATTGACTCTACCTATACTTTCCACCATCTCTTTTATCTTGAATAGTATGTAATGGAACCAACGCGGGAGCAAGCTATCCTAAATCTGGTCCTGTGTAATGAGACAGGAATAATTAATGACCTCATAGTTAGGGATCCTCTTGGAAGGAGTGATCACAGTATGGTTGAATTTAGAATACAGATGGAGAGTGTGAAGATAAAATCCAATACCAGGGTCCTGTGCTTGAACAAGGAGAACTACAATAGAATGAGGGAGGACTTGGCTAAAGTAAACTGGAAACAAAGATTTTATAGTGGGACAGTTGATGAGCAGTGGAGGACTTTTCAAAGCAAAGTGCTCAGCAAAAGTATAATCCAATGAAAAGGAAGGACTGTAAGAAAAGGGGTAATCTGCCATGGGTGTCTAAAGAAATAAGGAAGGCTATCAAATTGAAAGAGAATGCATACAAAGTGGCCAAAAACAGCATGAAACTAGAAGATTGGGAAAACTTTAAAGGTCAACAGAAAGCCACAAAAAGAGCTATAAGGAAAAGTAAGATAGAACATGAGAAAAAACTAGCACAGAATATAAAGACAGATAGGAAAAGTTTCTATAAATATATAAAATGAAAAAGAGTGGCTAAAGTAAATGTTGGCTCTTTAGAGCTTGAGAAGGGGAATTTAGTTATGGGATATGATGAAATGGCCGAGGCATTGAACAGGTATTTTGTATCGGTCTTCACAGTAGAGGACCCTAATAACATGCCAGTAATTGACAAAGAGATGAAGGTAGGTGAGGACCTGGAAACAATCATAATTACGGAAGAGGTAGTGTTGGGCAAGCTAATGGAGCTAAGGATTGATAAGTCTCCTGGCCCTGATGGAATGCATCCCAGGATACTAAAAGAGATGGTGGGAGAAATAGCAGGTGCACTGGCGGTAATTTTCCAAAATTCGCTGGACTCTGGGGCAGTCCCAGCAGATTGGAAAACAGCAAGTGTGACACCACTGTTTAAAAAGGGAAGTAGACAAAAGATAGGGAATTATAGACCGGTTAGTTTAACCTCTGTAGTGGGGAAGATGCTTGAGTCTATTATCAAGGAAGAAACAGCAAGGCATCTTGATAGAAATTGTCCCGTTGGGCAGACGCAGCATGGGTTCATGAAGGGCAGGTCATGCTTGACAAATCTTTTGGAATTCTATGAAGACATTACGAGCGAGGTGGACAATGGGGACCCAGTGGATGTGGTGTACCTAGACTCCCAAAAGGCCTTTGACAAGGTGCCGCACAAGAGGCTGCTGCGTAAGATAAGGATGCATGGCATTAAGGGTAAAGTATTAGCATGGATAGAGGATTGGTTGACTAACAGGAAGCAAAGAGTGGGGATAAATGAGTGCTATTCTAGCTGGCAGTCAGTGACTAGTGGTATGCCTCAGGCATGTGTTGGGACCGCAATTATTTACAATTTATAGAGATGATTTGGAGTTGGGGACTACGTGTAGGGTGTCAAAGTTTGCAGATGACACTAAGATGAGTGGCAAAGCAAAGTGTGCAGAGGACTGTGAAAATTTGCAGAGGAACATAGATACATTGAGTGAGTGGGCAAAGGTCTGGCAGATGGAATACAATGCAAATAAATGTGAAGTCGTACATTTTGGTAGGAGTAATAGTAAAAAGGATTATTACTTGAATGGTAAAAAGTTGCAGCATGCTGCTATGCAGAGGGACCTGGGTGTCCGTGTGCATGAATCACAGAATGTAGGTCTGCAGGTACAACAAGTAATTAGGAAGGCAAATGGAATTTTGTCCTTCATTGCTAAAGGGATTGAAATAAAAAGCAGAGAGGTTATGTTGCAGCTGTACAAGGTGCTGGTGAGGCCACACCTGGAGTACTGTGTGTAGTTGTGGTCTCCTTACTTGAGAAAGGATGTACTGGCACTGGAGGGGGTGCAAAGGAGGTTCACTAGGTTGATTCCGGAGTTGAGGGGGTTGGCTTATGAGGAGAGACTGAGTAGATTGGGATTATATTCATTGGAATTCAGAAGATTGAGGGGGGATCTTATAGCAACATATAAAATTATGAAGGGAATAGATAAGATAGAAGTAGAGAGGATGTTTCCACTGGCAGGTGAAGCTAGGACAAGAGGGCATAGCCTCAAGATTAGAGGGAGCAGATTTAGGACTGAATTGAGAAGGAATTTCTTCACCCAGAGTGTTGTTAATCTATGGAATTCCTTGCCCGGTGAAGTAGTTGACGCTACTTCAGTAAATGTTTTTAAAAAAGAGGTAGTTTTTTTTGAACAATAAAGGAATTAAGGGATACGGTGAGAACGCGGGTAAGTGGATCTGAGTCCACGTAAGGATCAGCCATGATCTTATTGAATGGCGGAGCAGGCTTGAAGGGCCAGACGGCCTACTCCTGCTCCTAGTTCTTATGTTCTTATGTTCTTATGAAAGCAACCAACATTTCCAAGTCCCCTCCAACCCCAGTTATATTCTCTTCCAACCTCTTCCGTCAGGCAGAAGATAAAAAATTTGAATACATGTATTGAAAGATTCAAGAACAGCTTCTTCCCCACTGTTATTCAACTTCTGAATGGACCTTTCAAATTTTAAATTCAATGTTGATCTTGCTTTCTGTGTACCTTCTCTGCAGCTGTAACATTGGATTCTTCTCTCTGTTCTATCACCCTAATACACTTTATATGATATGATCTGCCTGTGCTGCACGCAGAACAAAACTTTTCACTGTACTTAAGTATGTGTGACAATAACAAGTTAAATCAAATCAAGAGAAAAACAGAGTTAATATTTCTAGTCAAATATGACTAATTTCTGAAGTCATATCGGACTCAAAACATTAACTCTGTTTCTCTCTC